CTCGTACTTTAAACTCTTCATAAGCTCTCTGCAATGATTTAGCAGACTAATTGTTAAGTAACTGTTTGTGACAATTGATATACTATATGTAACAGCCCAAGCCCACAGCTAGCAAATATTGTCCGCTTTAGCCCATTACGTATCGCCGTCAGTCTCATGATTTTAAAACGCGTATGTTAGGGAGAGGTTTCCACACCCTTATAGGGAATGCTTAGTTCCCATCTCCAACCGAAGTGGGTCTCACAATCCACCTCCCTTGGGGGCCCAACGACCTCGTTGGCACACCGTTCGGTGTCTGGCTCTAATACCATTTATAACAACCAAAGCCCACCGCTAACAGATATTGTCTGCTTTAAGCTCATTATGTAGCACTATCAGCCTCACGATTTTAAAACGCGTCTGTTAGGGAGAGGTTTCCACACCCTTATAAGGAATGTTTCGTTCCCTTCTCCAACCGATGTGTGATCTCACCCTATATGACATATTTATAAAATTCAAATCTAACAAGTCACTCAGTCATGGGAACTACTAAAAAAACGAGCGGAATGTTAGAGGAAGCTTGGAGTTCTTACTTTCATAGCTCTACGTTCCTTTACAAAAGAAGGTTGTACTTTATCTTTCAAATAGTCTATTTTCTGGGAGAAGTAAAACTCAGGAGCTCGAGGTTCAATGGAGAATTTTTTGCAGAATGGAACCCATTTCCTTGCAAAGTCAGCTGTTTCAACTAGAGATTCAAATGTGAGCATAGCTGCACCGTCATCGGACACATAGCAGGAGACTTTATCGACAGGATAGTCCACAGCAAGGATTGAAAGCACGGTATTCGCAGTGATTAGAGGAGGTTCTTTCAAAGGATCAACGGTACTCACAAAAAAATCCACAGCAGCAAGCTGGGAAGGTTCTCCCTCTCTTTCAAACCTGACATAGAAATGGATGAACACAATGAATACCGTATCAGAAGCTGCAAAGTAGAAAGTGTTAGGAATCACGACTCTCCACAATGGTATGATATTGTCCACTTTGAGCATAAGCTCTCATGGCTTTGCTTTGGGCTTCCCCAAAAGGCCTCATACCAATGAAGATAGTATTCCTCACTTATAAACCCATGATCTTCCACTAAATTAACCAATGTGGGACACTCCCAATCCCAATAATCCTCAACAATCCTCCCCTCGAACAAAGCACACTATAAGCCTCCCCTGAGGCTTATGGAGCCTCGAATAGCCTCCCCTTAATTGAGGCTCGACTCCTTCTCTGGAGCCCTCGAACAAAGTACACCATTTGTTCGACACTTTAGTCACTTTTGACTACACCTTCGAGGCTCGCCATTCTTTGTTCGATATTTGAGGATTCTATTGGCATGGTTAGGTTTAGGGCATGGCTCTGATACCATGTTAGGAATCACGACTCTCCACAATGGTATGATATTGTCCACTTTGAGCATAAGCTCTCATGGCTTTGCTTTGGGCTTCCCCAAAAGGCCTCATACCAATGAAGATAGTATTCCTCACTTATAAACCCATGATCTTCCACTAAATTAACCAATGTGGGACACTCCCAATCCCAATAATCCTCAACAGAAAGAGGGGTTCCTAAGTTTTGGTTTCTTGCTCCTACCTGGCTGATAATCTGTCAATAAATGTGTCCCTGCAGACAGGAAACCATTTAGGGAACTGATCCAACACCCAGGAGAAGGCGAACCAGATTTCACATATGATAGAAGTGAGCCATAGACCAAAAGCACTATCAACAGGATTTGTAATCCTATATTGAAAGAAAAGACCTAGAATGATCAATCGCATGATTATCACTATTCTGTATGGTGTTAATCTGCTCGACGGAATCGGATAAACTGACGAAAATGAGTGTGTAACTACAGCCTCCTCTGAAATCCTGGAAGAACAAAAACCACATTTTCGTAAGTGTAATGACTAATTACCATATCATTAGAAGAATGAAATTTTGAGCCTTCTCTAACCAAGAACTTGTACCGATATGAAGCATAGAAAAGGCCATCAATACACAAAAACCAGGTTTTTTGTGAGATACCACATCGGTTGGGGAGGAAAACGAAACATTCTTTTATAAGGATGTAGAAACCTCTCCCTAGAAGACGCGTTTTAAAAACCTTGAAGGAAGTCCAGAAGGGAAAGCCCAAAGAAGACGATATTTGCTAGCAATGGGCTTGGACTGTTACAAATGGTACCAGAGCCGACACCGGACGATGTGCCAGCGAGGATGCTGAGCCCCGAAGGGGGTGGACACGAGGGGGTGTGCCAGGAAGGACGTTGGGCCCCGAAGGGAGGTGGACTGGGGGGTCCCACATGGATTGGAGAATGGAACGAATGTCAGCGAGGACGCAGGGCCTCGAAGGGGTGGATTGTGAGATCCCACATCGATTGGGGAGGAGAACGAAACATCTTTATAAGGGTGTGAAAACCTCTCCCTAGAAGACACGTTTTAAAAACAAGTCTGAAAGGGAAAGTCCAAAGAGGACAATATCTGCCAGTGGTAGGCTTAAGTTATTACATTTTTGCTACATTTTTGCTCCAATCATGCGTTCAAAATGTTAAAGCAACATGACAGGTCTGACCATTAAATTCTTACAATACAAATTACATTAAATAAACCAAACATCCTTGTACTTACTGCTTCTCTTCCATTTGTTGTTGGGGTGGAACTTGAGCTTCTTGTTCTGTCTTCACAGTAGACCTTTTCTTTTTGTTCTTCTTATCCTTCCAACTCTCTACTCTGTTCTTCCAAATTGGGTTCCCAGATTCATCATTCAATTCTTCACAAAACAAGAAAAGATTATCAAGAACAGGAACAACATGAAAGAATCCCAACGTGAGTAACAAAATCTATATTAATTACCACTATCCACAGTTGATACGCTACTGACATGTCTAGCATGAACTCCAACATCCTAATCAAGAACAAAAAAACAGTGAATACTTGTAACTGGTCACAACTAACAAGTGAATGAAGCTGACAAAACAAAATTTACCTGAGAATGACTGAGATGAGATGCCATGGTGTGTTGATTTCCTGATGTCTTTGTATCATCCATCAGTAAATTCTCTGAACACTCAGATCATGCAAACAAACTCAACAACTGGAAATACAAGAATCACTGATAATATTCAGATCAAAATGAAATTCAAGTTCAGTGATGAGAAAATACTGTCAAATGGCGAGCCACACCGCAAGCAAACATTGCGGCCTTCCTTGATATCATACTGAACGCAGACTTTGCAAATGGGAAATTGGCACTCATGGCAAGCAACGAAAACCTCTCCATTGGTATCAACTCCGACTTGCTCACCACAAGTGTGGCAAATCGGGATATCAGAAACCATCATTCTGATACTCACAAGCCAGTCAGTCCCTTGGATTGCCTTGATTCTGCAACCCCAAATCAAAAATGACTCTAGCAGGCCTTGAATTAGGGTTTGTGGGTGATTTTATATGGAAAACGAAGAACCCAGATGAACGGAACCGATGTTTGGGAGAGGGCGGTGAAAGCATTGGAGGGTAGTGGTTGAAAAGATGAGAGGTTGGGAAGTTGGTTTCAGGCATCTGCAGAGTGAGGAAGAGGAGATGAGAAGCAAACTCTGTGTTACAGACGGATTTGAATGCTTGCGGGAAGTGGAAGCAAAGATTTGGTTGGGCGGAGGACGATTTTGCACCAACCCTTTTCCATGAGAAAGCAACCCCGCGAACACAATCAACCCAGATCAGGAACTGTGTTGGTGACGATCCCCGTCACCCAACTAGGGCTAGACCCAATAAATGATCAGTGGAAAGAAACACTATTGGCTGGAAAAATGGTGGGGACGGCTAGAATCAAGCTTTTGTTGCAACGTGCTACACGTATTCTTTTCGATTGATGCGTTGCACTAATGGAAGATGGAGATAGAACCTCACCTAAAGTAGGACGATGCCAAGATGGTCATGGGACGTAATGCAGCACGTGGTAGTGCCTTTGTAGCATCTTAGTCGTCTAGATGGAGCCTCTAACACTATTGCCTCTTTGCACCTGAACGAATCAGTCGGTTGCTACTGTGCTACGGCAACAAGTCGCTTATTAGGAGGCTGAAACGTTGAGTGTCACGATCTTACATTTTCAACCGTGTGACATCATGACTTATATTCATATATAACTAGGCCTTAAGGAGAACTCAAACCCCATTTTACTTTTTTGTGTCTCTTTATGATTTTGTTGAACCTTAGATAAGGTTCTTCTTCATCTATCGAACACAAGTCATGTGGAAACTAAGTTTCGTTCTGCCATATGCGTCACTCTATTGGGATTGCACTACTCACACTCAATCTAGATAATTTATATACGTAGTAACACCCGATTAAAGTGAGCTAGACAAAAAGAGAAGAAACTTGGACAAAAAGAAACGAAGTGACTTAGACAAATCTTTTTTTATCGATAACCTTAGACCGATCAATTGAATATTGATTAATACATAATCGAGTTAACACTACTTGAAAATGAAGATGACTTTTTTGCTCAGAAATGAAATGTTGCTGGAAATTCTTGCTCCCATTGGACCATTTGTATATCTATATGCATTAGGATCCCGATTCATGGATTTCTCGGTTAGTTGTTCTTATATTTTAAATAGGTCTCTTAGGAATGTATTTCATAATACAATTTTACATACAATGTAAATCCTGGTTGTTTTTTCCCCCTTTCCTTTCATAAAATTAACATGGTATCAGAAACTTAAGATCTAAAGGATTCGAGTATTTGTTTGTTTGTGGTCTGAACGTCCAATATGTCCTAGATTTCAAGTGGCTCTTGTAGCTCAGTTGGTTAGAGTACTTGTTTCGTAAGCGAGAGGTCTTGAGTTCAACTCTCAACAAGAGCATTGATTCATTTGGTTTTTAATCTTTTAAAATCTATGCTTGTCATTCAACTTTCAAATTTGGTCTTGGGTGTTTTTTTGTTTGGTCATTATGTGATTGCTACTTTTTGTTTATGAGTAGCTCTTATAGCTCAGGTGGTTAGAGCACTTGTTTAGTAAGTGGGAGGTCTTGAGTTCAAATCTCAATAAGAGCATTGGATTCTTAAATAAACTTGTTTCACTATCTTGATTCTCAATAACACGGGCTACATGCTTGTGCTTTCTTTTGAAACTTGTTTTAGATGTGTTTGGACTCTTCGTCAAAAAAATAACCAAAGCTTACCAAAGGGTTTTAGCACGTACTAGGGCATTACATTGTTTATCAGATCAATACAGCTCGTATAGGGCTAATTGGGAACTCTCAAATCCCATTGATGCTTCATGATGCTTTCTCGGGCCTCGACATGTCATCATCAACTTTTGCTGTTCGCTCAGACATGTTTATTCAGAACCTATCCATGAGTCAACTTCATAATTGGGACGTCCCAAACATCCATCAATCCAAGCAATATAGAGGCATGAACTCTCCCATATCCATGTCGAGACATTTCTACTTACTGGGTCGAAGAATGACCTTATATACCAACTTTCGATTTAAGGTCTAGGATGCAATGTCGGCACACCCGTTTTGTCCTCGAAAGTCCATTCTTAAAAGAAGATGCCTAAGACGCTCGTCTTGCAACATTCACTCAAACCATGACACCCATATGTACCATGAGATTGCTCACTTAGGCCATGAGGCCTAGGGTTGGTGGAGAGTTGACACCATGTCTCCTCCTATTGTACATCCTGAGACATTTTACTTCTAGCGGGAGTAGACGTCATTTTCGCATTTTATCTCATAGAGCTTTTGTCTGGTGTCTGATTGACACCAAATTTGGTGAGTTTTAATATTTTATATATACAAACTTAACTCTATTATTGCATGTTGAAACTCATGTCGGAACCCTAACTTTTGAAGTTACGGCTTAGGCCCAAATCGGTGACTTTCAAGTCTATCTCTCACACTCTGATGATATTGTTGTCTCTAATCTTACTCATGTCATGCTTGGCTTTCATGCACACTCTTCTTAGTGTGTTGGATGATACGTTGTACTTCTCAGTCACATCATGACACTTGTTTTTCTCATACTATAAATAGGTCTCTTAGATATGTATTTCATAATACAATTTTACATACAATGTGAACCTAAGTTGTCGTTTCAGCATTCAATAGTCTTTTTTTCAAGTTGCTCTTGTAGCTCAGTCGGTTAGAACACTTGTTTCGTAAGTGAGAGGTCTTGGGTTCAACTCTCAACAAGAGCATAAGTTCATTTAGTATCCAATATTTTAAAATCTTTGTTGATTGTCTTGTGTGTTTGTTTGGGGATTCTATGATTGGTACGCTTTTGTTTATAAGTAGCTCTTATGGTTAGAGCACCACTTTAGTAAGTGGGAGGTCTTGAGTTCTACTCTTGATAAGAGCGCATTGTCTACCATTTTAAGTTCAAGATTGATTATCAAATAATTTGTCTCTTTATGACTTCCACCTTAGGCAAAGTTCTTCTTCATCATACAAGAGCTAGGGGTTTATATATTGATGACTAAAATAGAAATTTTTTTCTTTTCCTTTCATAAAGTTTACATGGTATCAGAAACCTAAGATAATGTTTGAGTATTTTTTTTGTTGTTGTTTCAGCGTTCGATATATCTTATTTTTCAAGTGGCTTTTGTAGCTTAGTTGGTTAGAGCACTTGTTTCGTAAGCGAGAGGTCTTTGAGTTCAACTCTCAACAAGAGCAAGAGCATAGATTTATGTGGTTTCTCTAATATTTTAAAATCTCTGTTTGTCATTCAACTTTAAAATTATCATGCTTGTATTAATATTCTTGATTAGGGTTGGTTACGTTTTTGCTTATGAGTAGCTTTTATAGATCAATTGGTTAGGATACCCGTTACCCGTTTAGTAAGCGGGAGGGCTACTTTCATCCATTTCAAAACTTAAAATTAACTCTTGAATTTATAAAAAAAAAATAATAAATTGAAAAGATTTATCAACTTTGATTCGATGAGCTTAGTAACTATTATGATGCCCCAATGTTGGGATTGTTGGAAGGTTGTCCCACACTGACTAATTTAGAGAAAGATCATGGGTTTATAAGTAAGGAATAGATCTCCATTGACAATGAGACATTTTGGGAAGGCTAAAGCAAAACCATGAGAGCCTATGTTCAAGTGGACTATATCATACCATTGTGGAGATCTGTGATTTCTAACATGATATTAGAGTCATGCCCTAAACTTGGCCATGTCGAACAAAGAATTAAGTGCACCACGTGTCGTCGTCCAGTGAATGCCTACGACAATTAGGGGTTTGGTTTTCTGTTTTTCTTTCATAAAGTTAACATGGTATCAGAAACTTAAGAGTGTTCGAGTATTTATTTGGTTGTCGTTTCAGCGTTCGATACGTCCTCTTTTCCAAGTAGTTTTTGTTGCTCAGTTGGTTAGAGCACTTGTTTTGTAAGCAAAAGGTCTTGAGTTCAACTCTCAACAAAAGCATAGAAAATTCAGTGTTTGTTTGCTAATTTTACTACTTTTTGCTTGTAAGTAGTTCTTATAGTTTAGTTGGTTAGAGCACCAGTTTAGTAAGTGACATGGTAAATTCATTTGGTTTTGGGTGTTCGTTTGTTTAGTGATTTTGTAATTGATACATTTTTGTACAAGTAGCTCTTATAGTTCAGTTGGTTAGAGCACCACTTTAGTAAGTGGGAGGTCTTGAGTTCAACTCTCAATAAGTATTTTATGATATAATTCTATGTATAGTGTAAACCGAAGTAGTCTTTGCAACTCTTCCCCTTTTCCTTACTAAAGTTTTCACCAGAGCCCTAAGATATGTTTGTTTGGGTGTTTACTTATTTGGCGATTCTAGAATTGGTATCTATATAATTTCATGTTGCTCTCATAGCTCAGTTGGTTAGAGCACCCGTTTAGTAAGCGGGAGGAAAGGCATCACTCCCGGCTCGATACTTTTAATTTAAATCACCTCACAACTTTCATAATTGTATTACTTATTTTGTATTAAGGCAGGAAAGTTTCTACATACATTATAATAAATTTAGAATTCAGCTAACACCGTCATTGGTGTAAAAATTCTGAAATTTTCAAGGTCGCTGTATACGTACCATAAACATTGAATGCAGAAGATTTCATTTAAATTCCGTAAAACATAACTTTTATCTTAAAACACAGTCATGGACTTACGTGTTTCGAAAACACCTTTAAAACAACACAACAAAAGACTAAATAAAATAATTAAGCGTTTAAGTTCAAAACATCCTATTCTAGCCTAAGTCTAAGAAAATAAATACTACTATCCTAGCCTAAGTCTAAGAAAATAAATACTACTATCCTATGCATGTGTTATGGTCTCGAGTTGTGATGTCGTCGTCAGCTGTACAAGAATGTCTTGCCATAACCTGAAAAATATAGTAGCACATGGCTTGAGTATTTAAAGAAATACTCACTAAGTGACCCCACTATTGGGTTTAAATGCAAGAACATGCGAATGTAATGACGGGACCTATCCTTTCAATCTATTTTCCTACGTGCTGTCCTAATGGGTAATTTGGACATGTACCATATACTGCTCATACGTGCGAGTATGGGCTCACCAGTCAGTTCGCACATCGCTGGCCACTTTCCTTGTCGAGCGAGCATACTCTGAGAGCTTCTTAGGCCGGACACCCGTTAGAACTAGTAACCGTCACGACAGTGCTATGCAAAACATAATAATTGTTGTCTTACCATTGGATGTACGAGTCCGTACCCTCGTGATGGAATAGGGGTATCCCCCAAATGCATGAGGTCCCCAATATTTTTACTTTTATCATTAATGAATATAATCCCGCTATCATCTTTGATGCTTAACATGTTATTTCTCATTTTTCACTCTATATATCATACATAATCCTAAAAGGATTACATTCCATTTCATTTATCATGATATCATGTCATTCATAGCATGTTGTATACATACAATTTAGAAAACATAATATAACGCTCCATGCTTTTAACAGGTCATTTCATAACGTGCAATTCATACAATAATTACCTCAATGGTCACACAAAACAATCTAAACATAAACACATCACATCACAATATATCGTATCATAAACATGTCATGTCGTAAACATTTCGTGGTCTTATCGTTCTCTAACTTATCATAGCCTTAACGTTCTTATACCTATCACAGTCATATCGTTATGTGAATGTACCTTAATCATATCATCACAGGAACGTATGCTAACGCTATCGTTCTATCAATCTATCACAAACCTATCACTTTCTACCCATATCCTAACCATATTCTTTCATCAATCTCCTCTATCCATAGCACTCCGGTATGTAATCTAACCTTAACGTTTCATGAACGTATCTTACTCCTATCGTTACATTTCATTTTGTGCATCCTTCTCGTATCCTATCTCAAACATATCCTTGAACACATCGTACCATAATTATTATCATACAATTCACATACTATAGCATAACATAAACATAATATAAGCATACCGATTCACAGATAATTCACACATATCAGTATATATGACACGTGCAGAACCACAGGCACGTGTCAACATCAAATATCACCATGCCGATAGTAAGGCCACTTACCTGGTCAGTTTAAGTTGTTGTCACGAATATATCCTTAATGAAAGATCGACTATCTTTGAAATCCAAGTCAACCTATGTGAGCGCATGATATTAGTTTCAAGTTTGAACTCTATAAAATTATTTATCTAATTTACATTGCTCCATTTTAAAAGCCTTGAAATGTTATACACCTATAATTATATTTTTATTAAAAATCTTATTTTCCATGGTTACGGTTGTATAAAGAGGAGTAGATAGAATTATTTCAAGTTATTCTGTGAATTTACTTTTCTCTTTATATTTAGTTTGTGATTTTTAATTCCTGAATCTTCTTTTTTTATCTGTATTTACTCCGTTGCCTTTTAATCTTTGTTCTTATGTATTCCAAATTTCGAGTGGATCCCTGTTTCCAAATTTTTCCTTATCTCAGTGTTTTATGTTTACAAATTTTCTTGGTTATTCTATTTTTAATTTATTCATTTGGCTACTGATATAAATTTAATATAATATTACTAATCTGATG